GTTATGTGATCACCTCTCATGCCACTCTTTTAATGCAGTCCGTTTTTTCATGATCACTCGGACACAGGTATGGCGAGGCTGCTCTCCTAAGACATTTGAGTTGTCGCTTGCTCAACTGCCAAAAGACAGCCTTGTACCACATTGCTGCAAATATTCCATTGTTTATCGCCAATGCTCATCCTATTAGCGAGGTGTGAGTCGTCGTCCACACTTCCATACTGTGAACAAACAGATCCACCAACGTTTCCCCATGATCTGGGGGGGTGGCAAGGGTTGTCAGGTTTACTTATAGGACCCAGGTGGCGGCTTCCTTAGGTCTCCAGTCCACCTGAGGTGTGGGAGGTGGGGGATTGTCAGCATTGCTTAAGCCACCATACTTTCGTCTTCGTTCCCCAATCGACTCTCATGTTGACCACAATTTCGAACAGATCGTGTGTGTCGACGCCTGGAGGCTAGCGGTAGTGGCTCTAAATAGGACAGTAAGGTCATCGACAAATATCGATGTGATCGGAAGTAGATTGTGGTGATATTTCCTGTACGTCGATCTTTTGGATTTCAAGGTTGGCTCTGATCATCGCTGCCAGAGCTTCCATTGTGAGAACGAACAACATCGGGGCGATGAGGTCTCCTTGTTTGACCGATCTTTGCAGTGCGATAGGTGGTGGCATGTGCCCATTCATCATTACATTGGTGCCATTTGGTGGTGGCGTTCCGATGAAAAATGTTTATGCACTGCCGGAAGCGGGGCCCGAAGTTCATTTTTTGGAGATACATTTCTAGGAAGTCCCAGTACACATGGTCATATGCTTTTTCAAAGTCAATGAATAAGATTGTTGCGTCAGTTTGACGTTGCCTAGCATATATGACGGTTTCAGCGACCAGTAAGATGTTGTCTTGTATGTTTCGGTATGCCGTGAAGCCGGCCTGGCTATGTGACACCCGCGGCCCAGGCCGCGGGCATTTCGGCCGCTGCGGCCGAAAAAATCGGCCTCGGTTGCGGCTGATGAGATCCAGTCCACGGCCTGTTTTTTTTTTTTTAACCCCTAAAAATATGTAAAAATAAAAATAGAAAATTATAGGGGTGTAGGGCTTGGAAAACCCTACAATCCTATGTTTTTTATTTCGGAATCCGACTTTGTTTAAGATTTGTAAAAAATGGAAAACGAAATTCGATTAAAAAAAAAAAAAAAAAAAAAAAA